TTTAAAGGGGTTATGAGAGTTATAACTTGGTTTCTCTCTGCCTGTTGGCGTGGTGTAGGGCCAGGCTGGGCACATGATTTGAGCACAGCCAGGTTACACCACCAACTTCACCGTTTACAGCTGCCTCACTTCTCTCCCCAGCAAGGAGAACCATTCTATTGGGTGCTGAGCCCCTCTTTGCCACCTGCTTGTAGCAACACAACAGCAGAACATCTGCTGCACCAAAGAGCTCATCAGTGTAAAGCAAAAAGCAAAAGACTGATACACAGAGCAGCCCCAGCTGTCTGACCACTGCTGAATGTGATGCCTCACAGCCAAAATATGAGACTTGCGCTGTTTATAGTTTATTCTGTCAAGGTCTGTGACAAAACCAGTGAAAAACACTGAACATCCAGGACTTGGGTTTCCATTCATGTTTTCTAATGCTTTGTTTGCCTCCTGGCAGTATGTTAAATTTAAAGCCAATCTGAGCATGATTCAGATTCTGCCAGATACAGATTCTGATATAGATGCAGTTTCAGATAATTAGCCACCTCCCTCTTAATCCATTTTCTTATTTAGAGACATTTATACGTTGGATTCCTGAAATTCAAAGCGCTTCTGTATTTGCTGTTATGTGCCCAGAGTTTGGCACACCAAGGGGAAGCCTCTCACTTTGTTTCCTGGTTACTTCAGTCTTGCTTTGCAGGAGGTTTCTAATCCCAAACAAGTACCCATCCTCCCAGGCCATCATGCATTCTGTGCTCTGGTTCATGCCACGATCAATAATTCATGTCTTCCTAACAGCCCCATTAACTGAGATGAAGACAATGTCCTTATTTATCATCAGAATACTCCACTTTCCTAATGGCTTTTCTCTTTCCCAGAGAGTTGTGGTTGTGGAAGACATCAAAAGATGGAAGTGCATCCTTGAGCTTCCTGGGCAACAGAAAGAAAATCTGATGGAAGCTTTGGGGGAGCTGAAGAAGAAAATACCTTCCAAGGAGGTGTTGCTTTCAACTAAAATAGGTACATCTTGTCTATACAGGCTGTGAATATTAGGCTGGTTTGTGTCTGCTTGGCTTGTCAGCACAGAGCAGGCTAGTTTGGAAACTTTTTAAGGCAGGAGTGTCTCTGCCAATGAAATATTGTCGATATCCAGTTTTCAGAGGTTGTACTGAAACAGTCAGCTGTCTCTTAATTCCTCCCAGGAAATACTGCATCACCCCTTCTGTGGTCAGATTTTGGAGGAGCAGTTCTCAGTACTTGTGTGTTTTATTCCTTCTACTGTGTGGCAGAGTCCTCTCTTGCCATGCAGGATGTGGCTCGTTTATTTAACTTGGCTAAACCCTCTGAACACGGGAGAAATTCTCCTCGGATTGGCCCGGAACTGCTTCCTGCATCCTCACCCCGAGGAATTCCCAGCAGATGGGCAGCTCCCTGCAGATGACACAGCCTCTTTTCCATAGGACTTGGGGGAGGGATGATGGGTGACCACATGGTCCCTGCCCCTCCTGGCTGCGGAGAACATCCTGGGCCTTTGTTTGCCATTAGAGCCGTGGAGTGGCTGTTCACTGCGCCCTGGGAACAGAGATGCGATCTGCCCCTTTCCCCATACTTCTGAACTCCCATTTTATTTGCCATGTTCGGCTTATTCGTGCTTTTCCCGAGATTTTTCCCACTGCCTGCCAGCGTGTGGCCGGGCTGGAAGAGCCACCGAAGCCTAACAGTGACATCTCCTGGCCAGCAGCGCTCCTGGTCAGGGAGAAACACTCGCTGGAAGCACAAACTCCCTTTTGTCTCCTCGCAGAGGAAAGCCTCTCCCGATGGGAAAGATTCTGCTTGGAGTCACAGTGGTGTTTGCATCTTGAAGTGCTGCAGCCTTCACCAGCAACAACATCTGCTTCCTCAAAGGGGTTTCCAGTTAAAAACCAGCATTCATTGTAGGCCACAGTTACAAGCTTTCCCAAGATCTAGGATCTGTGTGGAAAATTAGCATAGGCTAATTGCTGTGTTACGTAAGTGTTGCTCCACACCTTGGTGGCTTGGGAAGGTAATTTTCACAATTCCTTGTGAAGTGCCCAGGGATAAGTCACTGCAGAAGCCAAAGAGCTTTGTGTTTAATCCCTAATAACTTTATATCCGTGTTTGTGTCAGTGCTGTGGTTGTTTTGCTGACTCTGCCTGAATTAAAAACCTTTGTGGCTGCGTTGGTACCAGTAAGATTTGTCTGGTGTCTGTGGTGTTTTGCCCACCTGCCATTCCCAAAGGATCTGCTCCTGTTTTCCAGGTCACACAGTGAATAAGATGCGCAAACACTCCGATCCCGATGTGGCCGTCCTTGCCAAGGAGATTTACACAGAGTGGAGAACCTTCATCAGAGACCACTCCAACAGGCCCTCAATCGAGGTCAGGAGCGATCCCAAGTCCGAGGCCTTCAGGAAGAACGCACGGAAGCTGCTCTGTGAAGCCCTGGATGTAGAGGTAGAGTTCAGAGCTATTTGTGGCTCAAGGAATTACTTCTTGTAGGAACAAGTTAAACCTTTTCCAGCCATAGCTACTGTCAAGCTGGTCCTGCCTGTGGAGTAGGGACAAGACCTGATGATCTGTTCCTATTTTTAGTGATTCACTCCACATCCCTATTTATAAGTGGATTTGTTTTCAAGGTAGATATTTTCTTCTGGTTATTAATCAAGTAAACATGCTAATTGTAAGCAAGGTGCATTTGCTGTCATTTCTATAACTTGTCAGCAGAATAGTTGTGTATCTACTGCAGTTGGGCTGTACAAGAGGAGGAGGAAGTTAATAGAACATGAAGTTTTTCTTTCTACTCAACAGCTGTGAAAGCAACAGTGTTGTTAGGTGTTTCCTAATTACACATTTGTAGGTTTAAATCTGTTGGAAAAACAGAAGGACAAGGTTGACAGTGTATAAAGTGGTGATAAATACCAGATCCCTCAGGTATCTTTAAGTAAATGAACAGGGCTTTGCTGCAAGGCTTAATGACTAGTTTGCTTGGCCTATGAAATGCCATAATGATTATCTTTTTTAATTTATTCATTAATTTTCCTTTACATTTCCTTTAAAGTGATAAGCAGTCAAGAGTTTCAAAGCTATGTGTTTGCTAGCTGTGAGAACAACCTCTCCAGCTTCTAGCCCATCTGGACTGGGGCAGCAGAGCAGAATGGTTTGCTGTAGGAATGTCTCAAAAGAGTGGGAGCTCACCTTTGTTGGGTCAGGCTTAGCTCTTTAAAAGCACATCAATGCATGGTGATAAGACTGGTAGGAAAGTCTGAACCTGTGGGACATAAAGGCTGTGTTACCACCCTAAAATGAGTAGAATTGGGTAAAGCAGAATTGCCTCTGAACAGGACTGACCTGAAAGCACAGCAAGGAATACCCTTCTAGCTTCCAGCTGCCACCACATGTGCAAGCAGAGCTCACAGCAGAAGTTGAACTGCTTACATAGGGAGAGGAGCCACAGAGGTGCAGCAAATGGGGAGCAGGAACACCCCAGAGACTGCCAAAAAGGAGAAGGGAAGATGAGGCTGAGTGGATCCAAGGGGTGTTTTAGTGATGGGCAGCAAAACTAGTGTGGGCAAAGGACTTGGAGGAATACTACTTGGCATAGTGGAATCTCCTGCAAGCAAAGCATGGGAGATTCACCATCACAAAAGGAGAAGTGGAATTAAAACCATTTCTTGAAGGATGGGAGATTTTTTTTTCAATCTAAACTGTGCTAAATTACAAGTTTTGGCACATGTTGAAGCAATAACTACATAATTAACATTTAGCAAATCCCTTTCTGCATTCTTAATTACACCTCCTTCTACACACAGAGAGCCCACATTTCCCTTTATAGCACGAGGCAGAGTTGCCAAGTGTTTGGCATGTCTTAGAGTTGCTGTTGGAATCAAGTTTAAAATAGTATCCAAGGTGCCTTATACCAGCAAGATCAAAAGTGAGCTTTATGGAGACACTACAGTGCAGCTTATAATTGCAGTTGAGCTTGATACCCAAAGCTAGTCACAGATTAGTTTCCTGTTGTGATGGCAAAGTACTGCCACTCAGCTGGAGATGGGGATATGTTCCCAGCTACTGACCACGTTGCCTTGTTCCTTAATTGCTAGGGTGGAATTAAATTGCTCTTCCTGTTAACACTTGTGAAGGGAAGTAGATTTCCTTGAATCTAAGCTGATTAATGAAGAAACACTGAAAAGCACCCAACTCCAATTTCAATCAGTTGGTCTCCTTATTAAATGTAAAGATCTAATTTTATACTTTGCTGTTTCCAGATTGATCACCCACTGGCTGAAAATATTGAGCGAGAAGCTTTTCATCTCTCTTCCCGCCTCATTAGCGCTCCGTATCGCAGGACGCTGCGAGCTCTTGTCTTCTCATTAAAACACAAACCTGAGATCCGAGCAGAAGTCAAGGCTGGCACACTCAGTGTCCCTGCCTTTGTACAAGGCCATAAAAAGTGAGGTGTCCTGCTTGATCCTCAGCAAAAACTTTCCGTGCCTACATTCCCGTGGAAGTGGGAGCCCTTTCCATGGTGAGGGGAGTGCTGACAGTGTGCCTCACTGGCACCACTCCATGAAGAGGGCTGCTGGAGGGAACAGCTAATGATGGAAGTGGTGCTGTAAATCTGACTTGCTTGAAATCCATGTGGGCTTGTTACAAGAAAACTTCTGCTCTGCTGTATATTTTCCTGCTCCAAAACCATCCTCGCTGACTCACCTGCTTCTCACTTCTGCCCATTTGTCATACCTCAGTTTTGCTCCATCCCTGATATGGATCTTCAAGTGTAATCAGCCAAATAACACCAAGGAGCAGCTCTGTGCTGTGCTGGTGGAAAATACTGGGAATTCAGGGTATTTGGTCCATGGGAGGAGGTTCCTAGTGGATAACTACAAACTCTAGTTATCCCTAGATCATCCATGTCTGCTACAGCTGCCCTGTAGGGGAAGAGAGAACTGTTTGCCAAGCCAGCTGATTTCCCTTTGCTGCATTCCAGAGTTGGATGCAAAGTGAGTTTCATTAACTTGCTCTCTGTTATTCCATCAGTGCAGTCATCCTGTGATTGGGGCATTTTCTAAAGCTTTGGGGTGAAAGTCAAGATGCCTCAGAGTACAGGTGCTACCTAATGCCTCTGCTGATCAATGAGCAGCTCCCACAGCCTTCCATACCTCACTCATGTGGTGCTTGTTCTTACTGTAACAGGAAAAAAAACTTGTAATGAATTTTCTAAATAAAATCAGGTTATAAGGCAAAAATTCCTTTTAACGGCTTCTGTTCAAAAGGAACACAGTTCAGAGTGTGTGAACTAATCAACGCAACATACTGTTGTTTAAATTCCTTCTAGTCATTAAAAAATGGAAATCTTGCCTCTCATATTTGCTCTGATTTCTTTAGTGCCACAAGTCATCTTGTTCTCCATAGGCTACTGCTAAGGCTGTGACAGGTATGGTGTTCATATCTTCACCCTAAAACACCACTGACAGTCATGACTTGGATCTGGTAATTACTAGAAGAAACACCAAAAACATACCTTAAGTGTCGAACTCCATAAATTTAATTATCTAATTACAGGTTCTCTTAACACATCTAAACCCTGTTTTGTTTGCTTGGGCCAGTGCAAGACCAATTTCCTGGGTTCCTTGAACATCTGGCTTTTCTGGAAACAGCAATGCACTGGGGTACAGACATTTCTTCTGCAGAAAGTTAAGTGTGTTGGATGAGGCAGAAACTGGTGGATACGTGGGTGGTGACTGTAGCCAGTCAATGAAGACCTAACACTTGTTGATCAGGCTGTAGCTTGAAAACCCTCAATTTACTTCTTAGCAGTAATCAGTTCCATTTCCCACTTAAATAGCTTCAAACTGCACATCTGTAATTGAATTCATGTATCCTGGACTGTCATGGAAAGGGTTCAGGATCAATGGCTGACCCAGCTTTTGCTTCAGAGCTGCAACACCAAGACCTGCAGTGTTTATTCTTAGCTCTCTGTTCCTGGTGCTGGGCTGTGCTTTTTCTGGTTAGGTACTCTATTTAGGTAATGTGTGAGAAGAAAAGTCCTGAAAATGAGGAACTTGTGGTCTAATGAAAGCCGGGCCAGAGAAGTTTGACACACAGGTCAGATACAGTCTGACTGTGCCAAATATTTTTCATGTAGGAATTAACTTAAGGAGTTACTGCACTCAAGGAGAAAACTCTCCTATAAATTTCCTCTATTTAATGGCTAATATTTTTGCCCAACTTGTTTCCCAAGGGACCCAAGTGTATAGCTCTGGGTCCAGCTCATCTATCTTGATGTTAAATCTGGCAGTAACATTTTGGCTGAGGATTCACAGACTCAGCTTTGCATAAAACTGACTAACTGGAGGAACTGGAAAAGATTCCCAAGGGTGGGACTTGACACCCTTAGGACAGGAGGAATGCAGTGAGCAAGGGAATGCTTTAAGGACTGAAACAGAAAGAAAGGTGGGGAAAAGAAGACAAAAAGTTATAAAAGCAATAGTCCAAAAAGGGCTTCATTTTCCCAAAGGGTGATGCTGAACATGGCAAGAAGATACTCGATACCTGGCACTAATCAAGTGTTTAATTACTGTATAAAAACTGGATTCCCTCCTTGGAGCAGCCTCACCTGCACAACTGCATCTATTTATGCCTTGGGTAACCTGCTGGATTGGTTTGCTGCTCCTCAGTTCTTCCTTCCTTCCCCTGAGAGATGCAGCCAGTGGGGAGACTGGAGCCATGTGGCAGCAGGAGGCCCGGGATGGCTGGTTCCCAGTGCCATGATCTGTTCACTAACTGAAGTTCCTGTGACTTCTGGAGATCCCTTGAAACAGAGAGTCTGGAAAGGCACAGACATCTGAACCCCACAGTGCGTTCCTCCCAAGGTTGGTTGCGCTCTGAAACCTCTGATCTGCTACAGTTGTCTGTGGTAAACAATCATGGGGAGTCTTGCAGGACCTCACCAGCTTGGATTCCCCTGGCACACATGTTACACATCAGACTGGAGGAGGAAGGAGCCCTGGACACATCCTAAACTTTGGCCTTGCCGGCCCAGGCATGCATTTCTCCTAAATTCTGCTCTTTCTCCTCCAGTTTTCCTTTGCAACCACTGTGCTATGCTGACCAGCCATGGAGTACCAGTAAGGCATGTTACAAAGTCAGAGGCTCTCCACGAGCTCCTGTCTTCATGCTGGGGAAACACTTCTAGATTAAAAACGAGGATGAAAGGGCTGAGCTGTGGCTCCCTCATGCTCAGTTTCTCTGGCATGGTGCCTTTGAAATAGCTGGCTCCCTTTTTGCAGAGGAAACATTAAATGAGGGAGGCACCCAGCCTGAAGAAAAGTTCTTTTTCCATTTTTCCCCCCCCAGATTAAGCCTAGCCCACAGATTTCTTTCAGCAAAAGTGTACATAAAGCTGACAGACCTCTAGAGACCTTCTGCACCCAGCAGAGACAGGAGGAAGAACTTCCTGGAGGTGTCACCTCCTGATCCCTCTCCCCATGCAACTGGTGATTGAGGAATACAGGGTGGGCTCAGGCAAGCACCAGGAGGAACTGAGGAGGGAATTCACCCCTGACAGAGCTGACTTCTGACCCTGGCTTCTGAAGAGCAAATTTGGGAAGGCACCCAGCAGCAGCTTGCTCTGTTCCCCATCAGCAGGCACAGCTCAGGGGAGCTTTGTCCTGCTGCAAATTACTTGGGCGAAAGAAGATGGGAGTAGACAAGACCCTCCCTGTCCTTCAGAAAAGAGAGTGCACAGCAGCTCACCATTTCTCATCTTTTAAGAGGCTCTTCAAAGGTTTCTTCACAAAGAACCCAAACTTTCAGATCTCCTTTGCTTTCCTGACAGCTCTGTAATATGAAGGGTTGGCTAGGCTGGCCCTGGATTAAGAGACATTAAGGTAAGTAGTATCCACAGGTGCCCTTTGGAGCCCTGAGCATTTGAAGAAAGATCCAGAAACTTCCCTCCCATGGCCCTCCCACGAGGGCAGGATGGGGGCTGGAGCAGAGGAGGGACAGAGGGAAGCGGGAAAGAAGAGGCAGAGGGAAGGAAACCCATCAGGGAGTTCCCCAGCCCGGCTGGCTGCAGCTGGCTAGCCCTTGCTCCTCCATGCAGAAAGCAGAGAGTCTCCCTTGCTGCTTTAACTGGTTAAGGCAATTTAAAAGCATTTTAATGCTAATGAGTGAGCCCTCCCACAGCAGAGATCATCACAAGGTCCAGAGAGCCCTCCTACGTTTGTTTAAACACCCCTCTGCACAGGTGTAGGTATTGCAGGATAAATCCCCCCCAATCCAGGTGGATGAACTGGCTTCTCATAGGAAGGGAAACTGAGGCACAAAGGAACTGACATGCTCCAGGATGCAAAAAAAGGAGAAGCCCATGCCAGGGTAACACTGCAATTAATGATGCTCTAATTCTTCTGCTGGCAGTCCCCCTGAACAACATCCATGGTATCTGTCAATTAAACTAGATTATGGAATGATCTTTGCTAATTACATGTCATTATCTAGCAAGCAGTTATCTCCCTATAAAGGGTGCTCCTGTAATGGACAAACACTGTTCCTCTAGCATAGCCAGCCCCAGTGGCAAGAAAAAAAAAGCCAAGAACATTTCTGCTGTGGCCAATATTTTGCCTAAGCAGAAATTTTCACATTGCAAACACTGCACTCCTGTCCCAGACAGAGGGAGGAGGAGGAGGGCTGCAACGTTCAGAGCCAGCCAGAGAGAGAAGGCAGGATCAACTCCACACCCCTGAAACCTGCCACGGAGGCATGACTGTAAGCCCAAAATCCAGCTGTAAACCCTCCCATCCATCACGGAGCAAATACCCCACTCAGCCTCCAGACACCAAAATCCCCATGAGCAGGGGAGGAGGACCTCGCTGTCCCCAGGGCTGTGATGAGCAGGAAACAGGGTCTAAAATAAGCTTGGAAAACAGCTCCCGGTAAATGCTGTCATTGCATTTTTAATTGTCCATATGCTTGATCCATTATGTTTTCCCAGATGGCTGAGCTGCTTGACTACTGCCTCCTCATCTGTGCTGCTATGGCCAGGGTGTCCAGCGAATGCCAGCACTGCAGCCAGAGGAGACTTGTCCCTATCCCCACACCTCTGCCCTACAGTGTGTGTAGCCATGCATGAACAACCAGAGAGCCCCAAACTCTACCCCAGACTGCAGGGACAGACCCTGTGTCCCTGAGGGGCCCTGACTGAGGGGTCACCCAGCCCCAAGCACTCCCCGGGGCTCACCTTGTTGTGATGCTGCTCAGCCTCACACCAGGTGACTCCAGGAGACAGCAGAGCAGTGATGCCAGCTCAGACAAGTTGGCACCCTGCCTGCACCACACTCCTTCCCAATCCCACAGCTCTGGGGGCATCCTGGACACTCTGAGCAAGACTGGGTGCAGCTGCAGGGTTGGATTGAGCAAGGCTGAGTTTGCAGCCTCAGCAGAGTCCTCCCACTTT